TGAATCACCTTTCAGAAACGAAGCAAAAATTTTTACCGCTAATACAAAATTTAGGATTACTACTGCTAAAGCAAAGCTACGAATAAAAATTAAAATGTAAAAAAAATATTTTACAACTCCCCTCCATACTCGCGGCGTGTCACCGAGCAACGGCGTCGCTTTCTATCGCTACGGTTTGACGCTACGAACCAGATGTCGCTTACAAAACTCCCTGCTTAATTAACACTTTTTATGCGCGTTTAATTTTTGTAAAAGCATCAGTGTAAGTATCGCTTCTCGGCCCTAATGGCTAAGATCAAAGTGATCAAAATTCTTAGGAATTAATTATTTAAGCCCTATTAAGAAAAATCCTCTGTGAAAACCGAGAAGATGATGGCCGAGGAGGTACCCTCAACGTATGACATCGAGTACCCCTTTGGACAATATGGGTTCGACTGCCGGATCTGCAATATGGTGCCGCCCCGACACTACCGCGGTCACGCCGATCTTAGCAAACACACGAGGAGGGAGCATAAGTGTGCCCTTTTCTTCGTGTGTGGGCTGTGCGGTGACCGTTCAGGGACAATCAAGAAAGTGAAGGCGCACCAAATAAAGGATCACACCACCGCGGAGATGGAGGAGTATTCGCGGGGCCTTGCAGAGCACGACCGATCGCCCCCGCAAAGAATCATCCGGAGACGACTTCAAGTGGGCAGGTATGCTCCCTTGCCCCCTCCACCAGTGCCCCCACCGCAGGCTTCTCCACGACCGACCACCCAGTCACCCCTCGCTGCCGTGTATCGCTCGCCACACTGCTCACCACCGCTCATGACCGATGTCCCCCCCCTCGATGCCCGCTGCCTGCCTGACGTTGGACGAAACCATCATGGCCGTCGTCGCCGACATGAAACAACCGGAAACACGCCGCCAAACCGCGTGGCAACGCCGAATATTCCATCACCAATCTGCGTCCGCTGCCGGGAGCTGATCACGCCGTCTCCACCGACTGCATCCGGACGGGACCCACCTGCGGATCCTACCCCTGCACGACCTGGCCACGGCGTGATGCGTCGGCACCATGGGATGGGAACGCCCGGACCGAGAGGGACGCCGCCTGCAGGACCCAGGGTGACAACATCTGCCTCCTGGAGGGCTGCGTCTGCCAAGTCCAGAGCGACTGCATCAACCCCAGGGAGCACGCCGCCTACCGAGACCAGGGCGACAGAATCCAGCCGCTGCGCGACTCCCCGACGACATGAGATGGCGACGCCCGGACCGAGGAGGTCGACAGCATCTGCCTCTGGAGGTGCACCGTCCGCCGAGTCCAGTGCGGCTGCATCGGGCGCGGAGGGGACGCCGCCTGCTGGAGCCAGGACGACAACATCTGACCACCACGGGACTCGCCCGCGACAGGGGACGGCAGCGCCCGGACCGAGGAGAACACCGCCTACAGACCCCAGGGCAACAACATCTGCTCTGCGACGTCCTACTGAGGGGGGTCGTGGAGGGCGACATCGCCCACAGCGATCTTCGCAGACGCCAATACAGGGGCGAGTGCGGGTGCCTCCCGAGGCCCCTGCTCCTCAGCAACAACAACAGCAGGAGCCCATTGACCAACCACCACCCGACCTAACACCCAACCAAATTAGATGGCTCGGCTGGCTGGAGTTGGCCAACACAGGGCAGGAGGTGAGGGAGACCGGCGACAGGATAACCGAGGACATGTCGCGGCTGGCCAGTCCGGTGACCGGCGAAGGGGCCGCCAGGAATGACCCTCGCCCGAGAGCACACAACATGAACAGACGTCGTCGACCTCGCCCACCAAACAACATCGGCGTCGAGGACCGAGAAGAGGGACGACCCGGGCGCGGCGTAGAGGAGGCCACTCGGATTCAGAGGCTCTATAGGACTAAGAAGAAGAGGGCATTCGGGGAGTTGACGGGGCGGGATGGCGGTGAGTACTGCCAAATCGATGGGGGCGTCCTCCATCGTCACTTTTCAGGCGTGATGGCGCTTAAGCCGCCGCCCCCCACTCGCCACGCCGTGGAGCTGCCGACCGCCGCGTCTTGTGGCATTACATCGGTCCCTCTGACGTCTGAGGAGGTCGTCGCAAGACTCCAGGCAATGCCCAACACGGCCCCGGGGAAGGATCGGATCCAGTATGGCACTCTACGAAAACTGGACCCGGGCTGCAAGGTGATGACCGTCCTATATAACAAGGTCCTGACCACCAACGGAGTCCCCTTGAAGTGGAAGGAGTGCCAGATAATTCTTATTTACAAGAAGGGGGACAAGGGAAACCCCAACAACTGGAGGCCGATCTCGCTCTGCTCTACGGTCTACAAACTGTTTGCGTCATGCTTGGCGCACAGATTTGTGGACTGGAGTGGCCGAGAGGGGTTGGTCTCTTCATGCCAGAAGGGCTTTGGAAGGGGAGAGGGATGCTATGAGCACAATTTTGTGCTACAGTCAGTGCTGGAGTCAACGAGGAGGTCCAATAGGAGAGCTACACGGTCGCGTGGCTGGACCTGAGCAACGCGTTCCTGTCAGTGCCGCACGCCCATATTATGGACACATTAAATAGAATGGGCGCGGATGAGCGGACACTGGAGCTGATAGGGGAGCTCTACTCTGGGTGCACAGCTACGGTGCGTCAGGGCTGCCCGTTGAGCCCTATAATATTCAACATAGCTCTCGAACCAGTCATCATAGCAGCCTTGGACGAAGAGGTTGGGGTCCTGATCTACGGCGAGAGGGTGTCGACTCTGGCCTACGCCGATGACATGGTGGTCCTCGCCAACAACCCACGGGAGCTGCATGTCGTCCTCGATGTGGTTGGAGACGTCTCCTTAAAGTGCGACCTCACATTCAATGCCGCCAAATGTGCGTCGCTGGACCTCAACTGCCGTGGTGGAAGGAGGCGAGTGGAGGCCGATCCCCTTACCATCCAGGGGGGGCGATGAGGACCATGGAGGAGGGCCAGTTCTATGTCCACCTGGGCATCCCGACTGGGTTCCGTGTGGACACTAAACCGAGCGAGACCTTGGAGAGGATGGCGGAGCAGCTGGAAGCGATCAACTCTTCCCTCCTGGCTCCGTGGCAGAAGTTGAACGCGGTCACCACTTTTATTCTGCCGCAGATCCACTTCATCCTCAGGGGTTCCTATGTCCATAAGGGGGTTCTCAAGGTGTTGGGCTTGAGAATAAAGAAGCTGGCCAAACAATGGCTGAATATCCCCCAGAGAGCCAGTCCCGGGATAATGCCGCTGCAGGATCTGGTAGTGGTCGCTACCATCGTCCAGGCTTACCGCATGTTGACGGCCGGTGATGTGTTGGTGCGCCGGATTGCCGAGGGCCAACTGAGGTGCGTGGTGGCGAGGAAGATTGGGAGGGCGAACCCTACGGACGACGAGGTGGCGGAGTACCTATCCGGCTCTCTGGAAAGGGACTTCGCCAGGGATGGGGATGACATTCGGTCACTCTGGAGCAGGGCGCGGACTGCCACCCGCCGACTGAACATCGACCACCGGGTCGTTTGGAGGCACGACGCGGTTCGCGGGGAGCTCAACATCCACACGGAGGGAAGGAGCCGGACCATCATCTCGCCGACATCGCGACGTCTCCTGGAGGGGACGCTCAAGGCGGCGTTGCGGCGTGACTACGCCGACCGTCTGAAGGCCAAGCCGGACCAAGGAAAGGTATTCCGCAGCTCGCTGTGGTCGTCTAATGGCCACTTTGTTAGGACGGGGTTTGCCACCCGATTCTGCGACTGGCGGTTCATCCACAGGGCCAGGGTGGACTGCGGCTGAACATCGACCACCAGGTCGTTTGGAGGCACAACGCGGTTCGCGGGAAGCTCAACATCCACATGGAGGGAAGGAGCTGGACTGTCATCTCGCCGTCACCTGAAGGGGACGTTTAAGGCGGCGTTGCGGCGTGACTACGCCGACTGCCTGAGAGCCAAACCGGACTAGGGAAAGGTTTTCCGCGCCAGCTCGCTGTGGTTGTCTAGCTGCCACTTTGTCAGGACGGGATTTGCCACCTGGTTCTGTGACTGGCGGTTCATCCACAGGGTCAGGCTGAACTGCGTCCTCCTCAACGCGACCCGGAGGTTTCGTTCATGACCGACTCGTCAAAGCCATCCCGATGCGCGGTGGATACATCAGCGTCAGGGTGAACCAGCGACTAACCATTGTGCAGTGCAACATTGTTATTATAAACCATCAGTATTATTTTGATATGTACTTAACTAATGTAATTAATAAAAACACACACTCATTAAGAAAAATCCTAGAAGACGATGGTAGAAGAGGTGCCTTAAACATACACAATATTGGTTTGATTGTCGAATCTGTGAGATGATGCCACGCCGACCTTAGCAAGCACATGAGGAGCGAGTGCCCTGTTCTTCGTGTGCGGAGACCGTTCCGGCACCATAAAAAAAGTGAAAGCGCATCAAAAAGCAGCAGACAGCACTGCGGAGCTGGGAGAGTATTTACAGGACCTAGACGATGACCAAAGAGGTTCAACATAGTATATCGAGTACCCCTTCGGGCAATATTGGTTTGATTGTAGAGTCTGTGAGATGATGCCACGCCGACCTTAGCAAGCACAAGAGGAGCGAGTGCCCTGTTCTTCGTGTGCGGAGACCGTTCCGGCACCATAAAAAAAGTGAAGGCGCATCAAAAAGCACCGCGGAGCTGGGAGAGTATTTACAGGACCTAGACGATGACCGAAGAGGTTCAACATAGGAAATCGAGTACCCCTTCGGGCAATATTGGTTTGATTGTCGAGTCTGTGAGATGATGACACGCCGACCTTAGCAAGCACACGATGAGCGGTGCCCTGTTCTTCGTGTGCGGAGACCATTCCGGCACCATAAAAAAAAGTGAAAGCGCACCAAAAAGCAGCACACACCACCGCGGAGCTGGGAGAGTATTTACAGGACCCAGCAGAGCATGGACGATCGCCGCCCCAGAGAATCATCCGAAGACGACTCCAATACCTTCTCCGCGGGCTTCATCACAATCCGGGCGCGATGTGTCACATTGATGGGGGGCGTCCTCCATCGACATTTTTCAGACGTGATGACACTTAAGCCGCCGCCCACTACCCGCCACAACGTGGAGCTGCCGCGTTATGCGGCATTACATCGGTTCCTCTGCCAGCTGAGGTCGTCACCAGGCCCCGGGTATAGATCAGACCCAGGCTGCACGGTGATTACCTTGGAGGATTTAATCAAGAATTGAAAAATGAACGCAGCTGTCGTCCATCGGAGGCAGGTATGTCCCACTGATGACGAAGTTGATGATGTCCGACATCAGGGACATTAACGTCGAGCACGTCAGTCGCCGACAATATTAATTTGAACGGTATTTTTGTTAACTGTGACATATTTTTGTTAATCTCTTAAAAATATTGGCGTACAATAATTGTGCAAAAAAAAATGAAAGAATGTTCTGACACCTCATCAGGCTAACCACTAGTCGACTCATTATTAGAGCACACTAAATCCATTATATCTCTGTGCCAACCTCCATGACCATGACGCAAATAAAAACGAGCAATGGATAAAGAACTTAACAGAAGTACCTTACAAAAGAACATCAATAACGGATCACCGCAATCGAAAGCTGTTCTAATCGAAAGCAGCTACCCATTGTGCAATCTTGTCTCAAAATATTCAACATATTTAAATACAATTAAGTGTACACTTGAGAAACCAGCATAGTGACATTATTATCCGCCCTGGACATAAACATTTATTAAAAGGTAGTAAAATCACATGATGTAATAGTAAGACTAATAGTAATCCTCTCCTCAACAAAAAAGGAACATTGGGGTATGTTCTAAGATGAATAAATATAGAACGCAACTAAACATGGTAAAAAACTAGACAAATTCCAGTTGCATATAGACTTGCGTGGGAGAATACAGGTGAGATCACCATTCAATAACAGCATAATATTTCAATAATTGACAATAAATGACAGTTCATTGTAAAATTCATTAGTTCTATCAAAGTTATTAAATTTACAAACATAATATAAAAAATATAGTAGATTTTCAATTCAATGTCAAATTATTAATAGCCTGACAAGCAAATATTTAGAGATTAATTATATTTAAATGTCTCATAAATTTATTATTTTAGTTTAATATTGTATCATATATTAATATTCGTCATGTGAATTTCGTGAAAAGAAATATACTATGTATATGTAGTTGATTTTAAGTTTAACATATTTTTTAAAATATTGTATACCCGATCCCATAGGTTTTAAATGTTTGAAAAATATTTGATGCCAACTTGCTAACTCACCTGCAATTATACATTTGTAAATGGAGTTCCAAGTGTCATCTGCTGATTCTTAATTGTGTAATGAACTTGTGGAGCAGTGGTAAAACCTTACATAAGGCTGTAGCGGCGATCTGCGTTGTACTAGTTAAGCAGATCAAACATGCAGCATACTCCAAAAAAATGTCCATATTATTTATTTGATCCTTGACAGGTTGTATGTAAAGACGTTGTTGTGGATATTTGGTCTATGAAAATAAACAGCAAACAGTCCATTGTGAAGATCCTTTCTTGTAGAAGCTCCATCCATTTCCTGCATGTGTTTGGAGTATCCTCTGGTGTTGTGGTTCGAATTGTATATTGATTGTTCTTGGCTACATGTTGAAAGCAGCTAACATTTTTGGATATTTTAATGATTCCTCAATGTTGCAAATATGTTCCGGACCCAGTGGTGAAACCCTGAAAAAATTGACTAATATTATTTCCGAACATTGATTTCAAACAAAATTTCACAATTTAACATAATTAATATGTATCTACTGTTGAATGATAAAATTGTAAAAAAATATATTACTTATTCATAAACAAAACATTTTGCCTTATTTTTTAAATTTAATGGTAATGAAAAGCAAGTGTATCAAAGATAATTGAGTATTTTCAAAGACAACTCACCATATTAAAATTTGAACATTATACAGACTAATTAAATTGACCTACTTATTTAATCAATCCAGTCAACTATGTTTTGTCTTTGTAAAGTCACAAAATTATAAAAATTTATATATAATAAATATAAATCATAATAAAATAACTTTATTATTCAATGAATATTTAATGTAGAAATTCCGAAATATTTGCCTGTGTTCTTGAGGAAACTTATAGAAATATTGGCATACAATAATTGTGCAGAAATGGAAGAGTTCATGAATAAATGTAGCACACTCAAACTAAACATGGTAAAAAACTAGACAAATTCCAGTTGCATATAGACTTCTGTGAGAGGATAAAGGTTAGATCACCATTCAATAGCAGCATATTTCAAATAATAAAAAGATACACATCTGACAGGCCAATTAGCTAAATACTAATGTAGATATATAGAAACAAGCCTTGAGACGTTAGTAATAAAGTACATGTCTACAGAAAAAGTTTTAAATATGAAAATGTTACCATTTAATTGAATAATTGACAATAAATGATAGTTCATTATAAAATTCAATAGTTATACCAAAGTTATTAAATTTACAAACATACTATAAAAATATAGTTGATTTTCAATACAATATCAAATTATTAATAGCCTGACAAGCAAATATATGAATATTAATTATAATTCAATTTCTCATAAATTTATTATTTTAATTTAATATTGTAAATTCTGTGAAAAGAAATGTACTATGTATATGTAGTTCATTTTAAGTTTAACATTGTTTTTTAATATTGTATACCCGATCCCAATTTTTAAATGTGTAATTAACTGAAAAATATTTGATGGAAAGTTGCTAACTCACCTCCAAGTTAACATTTGTAAATGGAGTTCCAAGTGTCATCTGCTGATGCTTAATTGTGGAATGAACTTGTGGAGCAGTGGTAAAACCTTACGTAAGGCTGTAGCGGCGATCTGCGTTGTACTAGTTAAGCAGATCAAACATGCAGCATACTCCAAAAGAATGTCCATATTATTTAGCTTGATCCTTGACAGATTGTATTTGAAGATGTTGTTGTGGATATTTGATGTTTGAAAATAAACAGCAAACTGTCCATTGTGAAGATCCTTTCCTGTAGTAGGTCCATCCATTTCCTGCCTGTGTTTCGAGTATCCTCTGGTGTTGTGGTTAGAATTGTATATTCATTGTTACATGTTGAAAGTAGCTAACAGCTTTGGATATTTTAATGATTCGTCAATGTTGTAAATATGTTTCCACAAGTGAATCGCAAACATATTTTGGAACCAGTGGTGAACCCCTGAAAAAATTGACTAATATTATTTCTGAAGATTAACTTCAAATAAAATTTCACAAATAAAGGACATAATATGAATGATTTAATGGTCAAATCCATCAAAGGTAACTCACCATATTGAAATTTGAACATTTTACAGACTAATTAAAATTAGCTACTTATTTAAACAATACAGTCAACTATATTTTGTCTTTGTAAAGTCACAAAATTATAAAACATTTAAGTGTGTAATATAAATATAAATCTTGAAGAAGTGATTTTGATGTTTTTTTTCTTGTAAACTTATTTTTGTCTGAATATTATTGTAACCTTATTGAATATTTAAGACCAACATTTAAAAGTAATGTTTTTTTTTTTTTTTTTTTTT